ATTGTGACCTATGCCGTTTAGGATTGCTACCTGGAAAGCCATCACAAAGAGTGCCCTCCAATGTCAGTTCATATGCCTTCCCTGAAGTCCTAATGTTGTGGTCCCCTCTCTCTCACTTCTCGTACACTCTTTGGAGTGGTCGGGACTGGATAAGCTACCTGCGAAGCCAACACAAAGAGCACTTTCTCATGTTCCTATCATCACTTTTATATTCTCTTGAAGCTGGTCCTTCCCTTAAATGGTCTTCAGCCTTCTCTGTGGAAGCCAAAGTTTCTGCATCTGGGTGGTGCCTTATATTTTTTACATTTTTCTACAGCTCAATAGTTGCCACTCAAACAGTTGTGATCCTCATGCCTTTGGGTTCCTTTGGGGCTGGTGAGTAAGCAAGTTGAGAGTTCATTACTAGGGCCCCCTACAATATAATCCCCAATATAAAAGCTCTATTCTGTAATACTAAGAGAGAGTGCCAAGATAATATGGGAAGAAGTGAATTCTAGTTGCTGAGGTTCCCTGAAGGTCTCAGAGAGGCGGAGGAAGCCAGTGACTTGGGGAAGGAAGTGGGGTTTATGGGAAGAGGGAACATGAGTAAGCCCATAAGAATATAAGAATCACCCCAGTGGCCATGTGCCACACTCCCACTCCTGCAGCTCTGCCAGAAGACAAACTGCCATTCCAGCATCTGAAGATGACTTTCATGCCTGCGCCTGGATACCATCTTTGTACAACCCATGAGATACAGACCCAGGTCCTGACCTGGGTTCACCCAAACCCCCACTAACCAGGGTCCCTCCCAGACTGAAGTATAGAGGTAACAAGGAATCTCTGGACCTTCCCCATCTCTACACCACCACTGGGATTTATTTACTCCATCTTCGCAAACCCTCGGTTCCTAACACTCAACCCTCTTCTTCATGCTGCCCTTCGCTCCTGGGGTTCCTATTCTTGTGGAGGAGATTTTGGGTGGGGGAGTACTACGGAGAAAAAATGCTACTTTGGACACATGACAATTGAGGCCCTTGCCTGGGCTCTACTGCAGACGCTGCCCTTTTGCAAACCGATCCCATGTGGCCTGAACGTCAGGACGTTCATCTACTTCCCGGGAGTGGCCTGCAAGGGCAGGAAGAGGTGAGGAATGCCCCCTGAAAGCTGGGGGGAGGGGCTGCCAGGGAGTAGCATCTGCAGTGGATCCCCAAGCCCTCAGCACTGCTGAAGAGACCACACCCCCAAAAAGGGAAGGAAAAGATGAAATATAGATTATGCTACATGGTGTCGGAGTTTGGTCTCTGATACAGGGGAGATGGAGAGAGGTAATAGGGGCACGAACGAGTCTCTTTAAGAGGGGCCATGTAAGAAATCTTAGGTGAAACTATATTGATCAGGAACTAGAGAAGAAGATTGGGTTCTGGGGCGTTGCTGGCATCAAGGCTTTAGAGAGAGGAAAGGGCTGATGCAAAGGCCCAGGGGTGAGGAGTGTTGCCTTCTGGGGACGTTGAGTCCCTTCTGTGAGTAGAGGGTTCTCACTTGTGTGAAATGATCTTATGGGGACTGGGGATATTTTTTGTCTTTGTAGGAGTACTGCTATTTATTCAGCCACTGATTAGCTAATAGAATTGGGCATGAACTCCACCTTACTTTATTTTTTCATTTTTTATAATTTTATTTATTGAATCACTGTGAAAGTAGTTACAAAGCTTTCGGGTTTAAGTCTCGGTCATACAATGAAACAACTGTACCTTCATCAGTGCTCATTCTCCACCACCAAAAACCCCAGTATACCTCCATCCCACACCCTCCCCCTACCTGTGGGGCAGATGATCTCCACATTACCCTCTCTCTACTTTGATTGCATTCAATATTTTGACACCAGACCCACCATTATTATTTGAGATTTTACCCCAACACTCAGATCTGCTTAAAAGGCAACAGTATACAATTTGTTTTCTACTACTGGTTATGAATAACATATGATCTCGCGTGGCTTCAGTAGTGGCCGCGCAATTTTGAAATTCCAAAACTTTAACAATTAAATCTGGAGAGATTTCTGCCAAAACCTGCTGGGTTCCAAGATTTGTTCCTGAATCTCTGGGATCATAGCCATTAATCAACTTGATCAAGAGCCAGAAAGGCCGTTTGTGGATGCTGATTTGGGGTCTCGTTGGGATGGGGAGGAAAGGGCTAGCTCCACCCCATCCCCTGAAGACCCGCCTCTCTCATCACTGTAGGCCCAAACCTGATTGTCCAATGGCCTCTGGAGGATGGGGGCCACCAAGCCACTTAGGGGAAACAGGCGGAGAGACAGCACCCTTTCCTCCCTGGGGTGACCTGGCAACAGTAACCTACTGCATGGTCCGGATGCATTTCCGTCAAAAGCCGCCTGGTTTTGAGATTTGTTTCTGAGTCTCTGGGATCATGGCCACTAAGCAGCTTGATCAGGAGCCAGGTAGGCTGTTCGTGGGCAGCAACTCAGGGTTTCATTGGGAAGGGGAGGAAATGGCCGGCTCCACCCCCATCCTGTGAGGCCCCACGTGTCTTGTCACTGTGGGTCCAAACAAGACTGTCCAGTGACCTCTGAAGGATGGCGGCCACCAGGTCACTTGGGGGAACAAGCCAAGGCACAAAACCTATTCTCACCTGGGGTGGCCCAGTTGGGGTGGCCCAGTGCCAGTAACCTACTGCAGGGACCAGATGCATTTCTGCCAAAAGACACTGGGTTTCCAAATTTGTTTCTCAGTCTCTGAGATCATGGCCACTAAGTGGCTTGATCAGGAGCCAGAGAGGCCATTCGTTGGCGGTGACTCGGGATCCCATTGGGGTGGGGGGGAAAAGGCCGGCTCCACCCCCATCCTGTGAGGCCCCACATGTCTCGTCACTGCGGGACCAAACCTGACTGTCCAATGGCCTCTGGAAGATGGAGGCCACCGAGCCACCTAGGGGGATCAGTCGGAGGGACAGCACCCTTTCCCCATTGGGAAAGCCCAGCGACAGTAACCTACTGCATGGTCCGGATGCATTTCTGCCAAAAGTCGCTGGGTTTCCAGATTTGTTTCTGAATCTCTGGGATCATGGCCATTAAGCAATTCAATCAGGAACCAGAGAGGCCATGCCTCCAATGATATAGCAGAAACCGAAGGTGGTTTGTGGGTGTGTCTCCCTCATACCTAACTTTTAGCCGTTTATTTTCTTAGTAAACTGTGCCCTAAGTTTGCGGAGTCTGGCCAACGGTACAGAAGCAATTTTGGGGTATCTGGAAGTCTGAAGGCGCCATCACGCTGCTGATGCAATCACCTCACAGGTAAAGATTGACCTGCTGGTGGCACCATACTGGGACTGGGGGTGTTCTTGAGGGAACCATAAAGGGATTGGAGAGGCCTAAGATTCCAGAGCTGTGGATGCTGCTGACACAGAGTCTGGCCCTGTGGGGATTTAGATGTGTCTGGAGCATTTGTTTTGGAATTTGTGGGTGTCAGTGAATAAAAACATATGGTTCACTGCAATCTGGGGCTATGGCCGCCATGTCCCACGTCCTTGGGTCAATAGCTAGCAGTCACCACCTATGTTTCACCCACCCACCTGCTTTCACTCCTGGTGGTGAGACTAATGAAGATCTCTGAAGCCCCCACCCCAGGTTTTCAGACTGGGAAGATTTGAGGATCCTTTCCCCCAGGTTTGCAGTGAAATTGGCCTTGGGGCCAGAGTCGGGGCCAACAACGCCTTCACCGCAACTACCACACTGACATCTGAGACAAGCTGGGAAAATTCAACTTGCTGGTGTCGAATCAGTGAGGCAAGGAGGAGGAAGAAAGGGGGATGCTCTTCAAAAGGGGGGAACACTTCAAACTGCTGGTGATGGTCATGCAGGAGCATTACAAGGTCAGAATCAGACCCCTCCTCTCAGCAAACCTTTTCCCTTGGTTTCTCAGCTTCCTTTTCGCTTATATGTATTCTTTGTTCTGGAGTGCTGCATCTGGTATTGCTGGGGGGACCATGTTGGGGGAGATGATAAAATCCCACCAGACCCCCCCCCCCACACACACACATGGCCTGAGTTCCAGGCCGACGGAGTTACCTACATGGCCAGTTTTCTATTAGTTTGTATACTTCCCCTCCTTCCCCTTTGTGTCTATAACATCTGGTATTGCCCCTCTGTTGCAGGTACCCTGAAATGGTAGAAACCGGGGGCGGGGGGAACTCTGGAGAACAGGATTCAACCTTGGATTTCACACATCCAAGACATGTGCTCTACTACTGAGCCACCCGCCCCCCGCAGCCTTAAGCCCCTCGTGTCTGCCTCATTTTTTTGAGGGATGTTCAGAGGAGTTAGCAAAGGCTACATGGCCTGTGTTAGAATTAGACATCAAAGTCCAAACCGGGGTCAGGCTCGAGGTTTTCCCAACCTCGCTCCCAGACCACCTTCTCCATCAGCTCTCATCTGTCATGTCTAGGCTGTTCCTCTTTAGGTGCCCTCTTGCCATCTCGGATTCACTCAATCAGAGTGTTATTTCCCATGAACCCCCTCTTCTCTCCCACAAAGCTGACTTTTGACTTAGACCTGTGGATTCCTGAGGTCCAGACTCTGGATCTCCAGCTCATCTCCCAGACTTGACCCTAAATTAAAAAGCTCTCCATTCCCTGCTTCCTGTTTGTACTTGTTCCCCAAGGTCCCTCTGGGACTTATGACCCCTGGTCTTCATCACCCTTGCTCTCCAGGGTGAATCGAAGTCTTTTCTATGAGTTTTGGCACTGGATGCCCTTCGAGCAAGTCACCCACCTGGATGGGGACATGACTCATCAATCCATTAACTTCTTTGGCAGCAGTCCCAGCTCCCACGAGGTGAGTCATCTCTCTCATTGGCTAGCTTCCATTCTTCCTTCCCTTCCATTGGTTGATTTCCAGAGTTGGTGCAGGGGTGGGATTTACTGGAAAAAGAAAACAGTAAACCCAAGAGAGTATAAGAGTCACCCTCAGTTGCCATGTGCCCCATTTCCACTCCTTGTCAGAAGACAACGTGCCATTCCAGCACTGAAAATGTCGTTCTACTACTGCTACAAGCCGGTAAGATACAGACCCAGGTTCTTACCTGAGTTCACCCTGACCCCCACTCTCCAGGTCTGTCCCAGCCTGAACCAAAGAGGTAACTGGGGATCCAGGGACCTGCCCCATTCCTACACCAATGCTGGGATTGACTTACTCCTTTGCTCACCCTCGGTTCTGAATACTTAACTGCTTCTTCATACTGACCCTCACTCTGGGGTCCCTCACTCTTGTGAAAGGGATTTTGGGTGGGGGCACCCCCCGAGGGAGAAAATGCTTCTTTGCACATATGACAATTGAGTCCCTTTTCTGGGATCTACTGCAGACACTGCCCATCTGCCAACCCACCCCACGTGGCCTGAACATTGGGACATCCATCTACATCCAGGGCGTGGCCTGGATAAAAAGGAAATCAACAATTAAAATATTTAAAAAGGAAATTTAGAACAGTTTAAAATGTAAGGTCTTGGGGAGGGGGCAGCAACAGAACAGCTTGCCTTTCACTCAAAAGGCCAAGGTTTGATCTCCAGCACCCAATACCATCCCCTGTGCCCCATTAGGAATGATCCTTGAGCACATCCTGGAATTACACCAGAGGACTGTGGGGTGTGAACCAACATCCAAAAACTAATAAAAATAAAATAGAAGGCAAAATAGGGAAAGGAGCAGGAAGAAGATGCAAAGGATTGGGCACAGGCCTTTTATGGTGAGATCACCAGTCCATATTGGTGCTGAATGCTCTGCACGTAACTGCAGGAGAAGCTCCCACTACCACTGGGCCCATGGTTGAAGAGTTCAGCCTGTTTGGTCAAATATTGCTGGACCAGGACCAGGAACACATGGGTATGGCATGAGAGCCCCCCTCAAAACAGGGAGAAAAGGAAGAATGGAGCAAGGAAGAAAGAGAGAAGGAAGGTGAGGGGAAGTAGGAGGCAGGGGAAACTTTCAGGAGAGAGATAAAAGACAGAGAGAGAGAGACACACACACACACACACACACACACACCACGGGGGAAACTAGACCCACAAAGTACAGTGGTTGGAGATGTGGAGGGAGTATCTGGTCCCAAGAACTCTGATACCTTCTTCGTGAGGAGGTGTGGAGGGAGGGGCAAGTTGAAGTTAGAGATGAGGTGATCGGGGGTACAGATCCTGACAGTGATCAAGGACCCATGCTGGAGTTCAAACCCAGGGATCCTTGTATATGAAGATGTGCTTTGCATGCATGCTGCCCATTCTCTCCCCAGCACCCCTTGATCCCCTGAGCAATACCAGGGGATTTCTCACTAGCACCCTGAGGAACATCTGCATATAGTGTTGTGCCATAAACGTTTGCTGACTGTATTCTCTCTTTCTCACTGGACAGGCCATGGAGGCACAGCCAGGCTGCAAACTGGTAAGACAGCCAGTGGGGGCTAGACTATAGGAGGGGTGATTACGGGTAAGCACAATCCTACTCAGGACATGTCCTGAGGAGAGGAAGTAGAGTGAGCAGAGGAGGCTTTGCAAGAGATGGGAGAGTTGGGAGGTGGACAAGGACCCCTAGGAGAAGTAGGTACCTTGCTCTCCCAGTGAACCTCTGGTTCTAACTTTGGTGACATGGAACCCCGTGTTCTCACCCCACAGCCTGTGCCATTTAAGAAGAAAATTTGTGGGGGACTGATGTGCAGAACTATCAACATCAGGGGCTTTATCCCCTGTTCAGCCTACAGGTACAGACCCCAGTTGGAGGTGGAGTGTGAAAGCCTATTCTCCAAGCCTTGGTGCACCCAGTAATGTACCCTAGATGCTAACTGTCTTCCTATCTACTTTCAGTTTTGCAATCAGCTTCAGTGTGGAAAACACAAGGGACATAGCCTTGCACATCAAATCGTATATAAATAGGTGTGCCGTGGTGCGGAACACGTTCCAGAACTGTTGCTGGGGGTGTGAGGAGAGCTGCATTTCCTACAATCCCTTTGTTCCAGGACAGTACTTCGATGTAAGTTCCACTCTCCTTCCCCTTCCCTCCAAGCTCCTGCCCTGCCCCATCTCACACCTGCCTCTCTCCTGCAGCTGTCCATCCAAGTCAGCAACTGTAACTTCACGGTATTTGCCAACGGCCGGCACTTCTTTGACTACAATCATCGTATGTCGCCTTGCCTGGTGGACACACTGGAGATCTGTGGGGATGTCGACCTGTCCTGTGTCCAGGTCTGAGCTTCACTGGTTGCCAGGACATTGGGAGATCCAGAAGAAAGGTCCCCTAGCACACTCCTCTAATCTTTGAGGTTGTTGTGTCAAATTCTTTCAAATCCAGTTCATTTGACGCTTTTCCTCTGTAAAAGGCAGGCAAGCCCTGGTAGTTTGGCGCAAACAAAATAAAGTCATGAATTTCAGCATTTCTGTTATTAACCCACAATGTTTTGTAAAACTTACAAAGATGCATGTCGCTCTGACATGGCCGGTCATGGGAGCCGGCGATGGGAACACACTTCAGTCTGCCTGTTGCACAGTCTAGTGTGCAAAAAGGCTTAATGAGATGTGTTTTGTCTTTCCTTCTGGGGCGGGGTCCTGTCTGCGCAACCATACCCTGGCACCACTGAGGTGACTGTATGTTGAGGCTAGCTGCTGGATGGAAGAGGGGATGGGAGAGGAGAGGGGTCCCTGCTGGGGAATCAGAAGGGGAAGTTATGGGGAAGGGCCACCTACAACTGCTCCTGCTCAGACCAAGTCTGGGGAACTCCATCCTCACCCCTGCCTGCTCCCCAATTGTTCCTTGCAACATCCCATACATGTGCTCAGTCTCACACATTTAAGACTGCACCAGGAGCTCAAGACAGGACATAGGTCCTAAGAGCAAACCCAACTTCCCCCGATCATGTGTTCTCTCGGGTGACTGCACAACTCTGCCCATCACAACAACGAAAGGGGACTAACAACCTTATCTCCAGCATTTGCGTGTGTGAGGGGAATATCTGGGGTATTTAGCTGTCCCTTTCCCTGGTTACATAGTTCCCTGTACTGGATCTCACAGTGACCTGTCAGGCACATCAAAGCGTGGGGCAGGTGACTGGTCTGTGAATCTTTATAGAAAGGAAGAAGCACAAACACTGAGCGCAGTGAATGAGTTGCCAGGGAGTCGGTAGGGATAATGGGTATTGAAGTCTTTGATTGACTTTGTCTGATGAGTTCATATGTATAAAACAGGTAGAGTCCAACGTGAACTTAAGGAACCAGTTGGAGGGTATCAATGTGTAATTGAACAATTCGGGTTTTTTCCTTTATCTTTCTTTGGAAGGGAGGGAGTCGTCACACCTCGAATTGTTCAAGGGTTATTCCAAAGTTTCCACACTCGGAATCATTCCTGAATATGCTCAGGGGAGCATATGGGATGCCAAAGATAATCCAGATTGCATATATACAAGACAAGCGCCCCCCCCCCCCCCACTATCTCTCCAGTCTCTGGGAAATTCTTTTTGTTGTTGTTGGGCTCTAGATGCTGTTCAAAGGCTATATCTCTAGGATGCGACCAGTCCTGGGAATGGCAACTTTGTATTCTAGACAAAACCTCTTTTTCCACACCCGCACACACCCAAGATCCAACCCCTCCTTACAGTGACTTACTTGTATATACATTATATATTCTCATCCCCACGTTGTTTCTTCTATCTGATTGGTTACATGCTATCACTTGATCTCTTGACATCCCGTTACTCATTGATTTGTTCCAGCCGGTGCCAGTAACGTTTCCATTCGTCCCTGACGCATGCTAGTGTAGCCCAACGTGTCCCTAGCTCATTCTAGGAACACGAAGAGCCTCAAACCGATTGTTCAGGGTCTTGACAAAGATGTCTCACTATCTTGTAGGTGGGCAGCCACACACTCTCTTGACATCCCATGGAATCCAGTCGGTAATGACTGTAGCCCAGTCATGGAGTAAACCTCCTGGTACTTATCTTGACTATTCTTGGGTGTTAGTCTCCTCTTTTGTTACTTTATATTCCCCAGATGAATGCAATCTTTCTATGTCTGTCCCTCTCTTTCTGACTCATTTTTCTTAGCCTGATACTTTCCATGTAGTACCACTTGTATGTAAGTTTCATGAGCGATAGCACAGCGGTAGGACATTTGCCTTACAGCAGCCAACATGGCTGAACCGAGTTCGATTCCTTCGCCCCTCTCGGAGAGCCAGGCAAGCTACCGAGAGTATCTCGCCCACACGGCAGAGCCTGGCAAGCTACCCGTGACATATTCGATATGCCAAACACAATAACAAGTCTCATGATGGAGACATTACTGGGCCCACTCGAGCAAATCAATGAACAACGGGAGGACCATTGCACACATGGACCGTGCATCTTTTCTAACAGTTGCAAAGTACTCCATTGTGTAGATATACCAAAGTTTCTTTAACCAATCATCTGTTCTCAGGAACTTGGGTTTTTTCCAGATTTTGGCTATTGTAAACAGTGCAACAATGAACATAGAAGTGCAGATGTCATTTCGACTGTACTGTTTTGCCTCTCCGGGATATATTCCCAGAAGTAGTATTGCTGGGTCAAATGAGAGCTCAATTTCTAATATTTTGAGAATCATCCATACTGTTTTCCGAAAGGGCTGAACCAGTCGGCATTCCCACCAGCAGTGAAGGAGGGTCCCTTTCTCGCCACATCTGTGTCAACACTGATTGCTTTTGTTCTTTTGGATGTGGGCCAGTCTCTGTGGTGTGAGATGATATTTCATTGGGGTTTGATATGCATCTCCCTGATGAGTAATGATGTAGAGCATTTTCTCGTGTGCCTTTTTGCCATTCGGATTTCTTCTTAGAGAAAGTTTCTGCTCATTTTGTTGCCCCATTTTTCGAAGGGGTTGGACGTTTTCTTCTTGTGGAGTTCAACCAATCCTTTGTATATCCTTGACATCAACCCCTTGTCGGATGGGTATTGGGCGAATATCCTTTCCCACTGACTGTCTTTGTATTTTGGTCACTGTTTATTTCGAGGTGCAGAAGCTTCTTAGTTTAAGATAGTCCCATTTGTTTATCTTTGTTTTCACTTGCTTGGCCAGTGGCGTGTCATCTTTGAAGATACCTTTCGCTTCAATGTCGTGGAGGGTTTTGCCAACTTTGTCTTCAATGTACCTAATGGATTCCGGTCTGATGTTGAGGTTTAATCCATTTTGATCTTACTTTTGTACATGGTATTAGGCAGAGATCTGAGCCCATTTTTTTGCATGTAGCTGTCCAGTTTTGCCAGCACAATTTGTTAGAGGCTTTCCTTGCTCCACTTCACATTTCTTGTTCCCTTATCAAAGATTAGGTGATCATATGTTTGAGAGGAGATGTCAATATATTCAACCCTGTTTCATTGGTCTGCAGCTCTGCCTTTGTTCCAGTACCATGCTGTTTTAATTATTATTGCTTTGTAGTAGAGTTTGAAGTTAGGGAGTTTAATTCCTCCCGTTTTCTTTTTCCCAAGAATTGCTTTAGCTATTCTTGGGGGCTTATTGTTCCATATGAATTTCAGAAGTGTTTACTCCATTTCTTTGAAGAATGTCATGGGTATCGTTATAGGGATCGCATTGAATTTGTACAATGCTTCGGGAAGCACTGTGATTTTGACAATGTTAATTCTCCCGATCCATGAACAGGGGATATCTTTCCATTTTCTTGTGTCCTCTTTTATTTCCTGAAGTAGCCTTTTGTAGTTTTCTTTGTATAGGTCCTTTACTTCCTTAGTTAAACTGATTCCTAGGTACTTGATTTTCTGGGGCACAATTGTGAACGGGATTACTTTTTTCATGTCACTTTCTTCTCTCTCACTGTTTGCGTATAGGAAAATCATGGACTTTTGGGTATTGATTTTATAGCCTGCAACTTTACTATACAAGTCTATTGTTTCTCGGAGTTTCTTGGTAGATGTTTTAGGGTTCTCTAAGTATAGTACCATATCATCTGCGAATAGTGAGAGCTTGATTTCTTCCTTTCCTCCCTGGATGCCCTTAATATCTTTTTCTTGCCTACTCACTATTGCAAGTACTTCCAGTACTATATTGAACAGCAGTGGAGAGAGTGGGCATCCTTGTCTCGTCCCTGATCTTAGAGGGAAGGCTTTTTTTCATTGAGGATGATGCTTGCCGTAGGCTTGTGGTAGATGGCTTTAACTATATTGAGGAAAGTCCCCTCTATACCCATTTTGACGAAGGTTTTCATCATAAACGGGTGCTGAATCTTGTCAAATGCTTTCTCTGGATCTATTGATATGATCATATGGTTTTTATCTTTTCTTTTGTTGATATGACGGACTATGTTGATTGATTTCTGAATGTTAAACCATCCTTGCATCCCTAGGATGAATCCCACTTGGTCATGGTGTATGATCATTTTGATGAGTTGTTGAATTCTATTTGCTAGTATTTTGTTGAAAATCTTAGCAATCGTGTTCATCAGGAATATCGGCCTGTAGTTTTCTTTTCTTGTGGTGTCTTTATTTTGGTTGGTATTAGAGAGATATGGGTTTCATAGAAACTGTTTGGGAGAGTTTGTTACTTCAATTTCCTGGAAAATCTTGGGAAGAACTGGCAATAGGTCCTCTTTAGATGTTTGGAAAAATTCGCTAGTGAATCCAGCTGGACCTGGGCTTTTGTTTTTGGGAAGACTTTTGATTACAGTTTCAATTTCCTTAATGTTAATAGTTCTATTCACTGATTCTTAGGTACTTGATTTTCTGGCACACAATTGTGAACGGGATTACTTTTTTCATGTCACTTTCTTCTCTCTCACTGTTTGCATATAGGAAAGTCATGGACTATAGGAATCCTGGATCATAGGAATCCAGGAATTTGTCCATTTCTTCTAGGTTCTCTTGTTTCATGGCATACAGACTTTCAAAGTAGTCTCTGCTGATCTTTTGAATTTCTTTGGTTTCTGTTGTGGTATTCCCCTTCTTATTTCTGATTCGGTTTATTCGGGTTCTCTCTCTCTTTCTTTGTGAGTCTTGCTAGTGGTTTATCTATCTTGTTTATTTTCTCGAAGAAACAGCTCTTGGTTTCATTGATCTTTTGGATTGTTTTTTGGGTGTCCGTGTCATTAATTTCTGCTCTAAGTTTTTATGATCTCTTTCCTTCTGCCTGAATTGGGTTCTTCCTGTTGATTCTTTTCTAAGATCTTGAGCTGTGAAGTCAAGTTGTTTATGTGGGCCCTTTCTTCCTTCCTGAGACATGCTTGCAGAGCTATAAATTTTCCCCTTAGCACGGCTTTAGCTGCATCCCATAGGTTCTGGTAGCTCGTGTCTTCATTCTCATTTGCTTCCAGGTATCTTTTGATTTCGTTTTTGACTTTCTTCCTGACCCACTTGTTGTTCAACATTTAGTTGTTTAATTTC